AATGTGCTCACCAGTGATCACTGGGGAACTGGCTCACTCAGTGATCATGGGGAACGTGCTCACTCAGTGATCCTGGGGAACTGTGCTCATCAGGTCAAAGGGGAACTGTGGCCACTCAGTGATCAAGGGGGAACTGTGCTCACTCGTGATCACTGGGGGAAATGTGCTCCCAGTATCATGGGGAACTGTGCTCACTCAGTGATCAATGGGGGGAACTGTGCTCACTCATGATCTGGGGAACTGTGTCACTCAAGGGGATCTGGGGAACTGTGCTCACTCAGTGATCACTGGGGAACTGTGCTCACTCAGTGATCACTGGGGAACTGTGCTCACTCAGTGATCACTGGGGAACTGTGCTCACTCAGTGATCATGGGGAACTGTGCTACTCAGTGGACATGGGAACTGTGCTCACTCAGTGATCACTGGGGAACTGTGCTCACTCAGTGATCACTGGGGAATATAGATATGTGAAATGTTGACTATAAATAAGTCTCATGATAACTGATTGAAAAAGAAAAACTTTTTTTTTTTTTTTTTTTTTTTTTTTGCTTCATGGTAATACTTATTTTCACTAGTATGTGATTAAGCACTCGTAAATAATTTTTCAAAGAGGAATGTTGTAATACACTTTTTTTCATCCTCCTAAGATGATATAGAATAAAAAGTGTGAATTTTCGAAATATCTTCACTGATCATCACCTAAATGATGACTGTTGTCAATATTTGCTCCTGGGTTTGTATAACAATGATACCAAATGTGTAGTTTAAAAATTATCACACTTGGGTCATAATTAACCAAATTACCCTCTTTCGAGAAATTAAAGGCTAAACATATTAGTATTGTGGAAAATTAAATTTACCTGGATGTATCTCATTAGATACATACATGTAAATGGTAACAAAGATAATTATTATCTGTTAAAGTTACAAAGACAAGTAGGAATTTTTAGGACACCTAGGTCACAAAAAATGTCCCCCTTCGAAACTTACCATCTATCCCTCCACAAATTGCTCTAGACCTATATTAATTGCAAATGAAATGTACATCACCAGGAATTCTGGTAAAATTTAATATAAATTTGTGGACTGTATATTAAAATTAATAAATGATTACATATACACATTCATATAACAGAAGGAGAATTTATAATCATAACACTCACCAATTAGACTGGAGATTACTGTGTGTCATGTACAGAACCCCCCTCTAACTAAATTTATGACTCTAATACTGGCCAGAATTACAAACATAATTTAGATAGCTTATCTGGAGGTTCCTGGAGCTGTCCTGTACATCTGTTTAATGCTCAAGTTATGCAGGAATGCACATCCAACAATTTTGGTTCCTATTTGAGAGGTTTTAAGCCCAATATAACCCTTAGAGTGACGAAAATTAAGCACATTGCATTAGAGTGCCTGCACCACATTCAAAAAAACAATGGCCACTCTCCCTGCTCCTCAGCGCAGGCACAGAGCTTCCCTTTCGATTCTCTTTTTTTTAAAAATACACTTTAGATTTGGGAAATTATTTTCCACAAGTATATTATTTGAGTAAACATGTCCATATTTATGTTTTTCATGGTGATAGTATTTGTGAGTTATTTTAAGTTCATGTTGTAATATCTGTAGGTAATATCTGTAATATCTGCGGCATCTGGTTGTCTTTGTTGTGGACGTTTCGCCATCCAGTGGCTGGCTGGATGGCGAAACGTCTACGGTGGGGATGCCCGGGTGTTGTGCATGTGTCATTTCATCCTGTCGGTATTATATACAATTCTTGTACTACTACTACTACTACTACTACTACTACTACTACTACCTCCACCTCTTCCTGCCTATATATAGCCGTCCTGCTCCACCTCTGTTAGTGTGACTTTGTCAATGGTCCAAGTCGGACCGAAACGTCGTCGTAAGCTTCTCTCTTTTATGTGCGGGTTATTTGTGTATCGTTCCAGTCACGGTATTGTGCCTTTTTGTTATTTATTGTTTCTTACATGTTTCGATTTTCATGTACAGTAGTGTGCAAATTTATTGTGGCAGGAGTAAATTTTGTGATTATCTCATAATATGTCTTAGTCTCCGACTTAATTAATATAGTCTGGGCTCTTTTCTATTCAGGATAGCCTGCTACCGACTTTTTGCAACCATACAGCTGTTGTAGTACTCAGTGACTCTTGTGAGCACTACAAGAGCTGTTGTTCTGTAAGGTAATTCCTGCAAGTGTACTCTGTGAGTGAATGTAGTTTTGCCAAATTCTCACCTTCATTTCATGATTTCTGCTGAAATTCATGATTTCATGTTGCATCTAGGAAGTGTGCAATTACTGTCGCTCTTAGAAACCATGTAATGAATAATTTTTAATGGCATGGACCGGTAAGCCAGCAGAAGGCTTCAGTCAGATGACATAGAGCTCCAGCAGCTAGCCATCATATGTTAGTAGTATGTAAGACAAATCTTACCTAACCTAACCTTAAAAATCATGCTTATTTGAGTATCAGACAGATTGCCAAAAATTTGAGTTTTTCCGGCAGTTCTTGCGGCGGTTGGATTCTGAAGAGAGGTGACGACACTTGTGATTGCGGATCGCTTCATCAAGGAAGATGCTGAAGAAAACGTAAGACAACACCTCAGGTTGACAATGCTATCATAAGAAACAGTGTGAAGAATTCCAAGATAATCAACAAAGGCCTACAGAGAGATTTGGCTTCAGCTGGCATAAATGTTGATTCTTCAACTGTTCGACGAAGGTTCCTTGAAGCTGTCAGAATTGCCAGAAAAGTGGTAAAGAAACAATTACTGACTGCTACTATTAAGAAAAAAATGGCTGCGGTGAGCACTCAGTCATATGGGATAGACGACAGATGAATGGAGTAAAGTTATATTTTCATGTATAGCGCAATTTGAAGTACATGGGTGCAGATCAGTGGCAGTGAGACGGAGAAAAGGCGAACCTCTTTGGAATGGACTTATTCAACAAGCGAGGTCAACATCAACATGATTGTGAAGCATAAGTTATGAATGTTACAGTGAGAAGGGGACTGTCCCCTACCATGTTGGGTGACCCAAAATAAAAGGAAATATTTTAGCCATTATTCATTCAATTACTTTCTTGTCAGAAGTGTGCTGATTTTCATAGTTAAAATGTTACACTGAATGACAATATCTTAACCCTACACTTCAACTTCATACACTGTAGTACTGTATTTTCCAACACCTGCTAACTGGTTTCCCTAAATCCTTTCATATATTTTACCTTGCCCACGCTCCATCAGCACGTTATGTCATAAGAAATCACGTCTCTCCACTCTGTTCTAATGCTCTCAGGTAAAACTGTTGGATGTGTAACCTCTAATGCTCAAAATGCATTTTATACCTCATAACTCAAACCCTTCCTGTTAAAAAAGACGACGAACATACTTCTACACTAACAAGTTTAGATAAAGAAATCAAGTGACTCTTATCATACGAAGACTGCACAGTCCAAGTGCCTAAACGACTTCTACACAATGTTCTGCTTAATGTGGATTTATAACGTACAGTACACCGTTATTTAACACGGTAGTTGCGTTCCTGAAAACATCGTGTTAGGTAAAACCGTATTATATGAACTGAGGACCTTAGGGGAAAAAATGGGTTACGTTCCTGAGAGCCCCAAAAAATCCAAACAACTTTTTTTAGGCCTCCACATCTTACAAAAACAAAAGTAACTGTAGTTCAGTGCTGTGATGTATTGTTGTTTTTATTGTTAAGACCAAAAATGTAACAGAAATAATAGTATTTCTTACCTTAAATTGTGGATGCTGGTGTTTGTGGATGATTGTGAAGAGAGTGGAGAGTTATGTTGTGGTCCTACTGGGCTGAGGTAGATGGTAGAGGTTCTGGTACAGTAAGTCAGTCAAGCCATTCAGTAAGTCAGTCAAGACATTCAGTAAGCCAGTCAATTCATTCAGTAAGTCATTCAGTAAGTCAGTCAAGCCATTCAGTAAGTCAGTCAAGTCATTCAGTAAGTCAGCCAAATCATTCAGTAAGTCAGTCAAATCATTCAGTAAGTCAGTCAAGTCATTCAGTTAGTCAATCAAATCATTCAGTAAGTCAGTCAGGCCATTCAGTTAGTCAAATCATTCAGTAAGTCAAATCATTTAGTAAGTCAATCAAGACACTCAGTCATTCAGTAAGCAGTCAGTCAGTCAGTCAGTCACTAAGTCAGTCAGTCACACAAACTTATGTTTACCTTTTTATATGTGTACAAAGTAACACTTCATTATGGCTACAGGATGTCTTGTCTAATTTCTTTGTTCCTTTCGTTAATTCTATACTTAAATGTTTACACCTTTTCTTGCCACTTTTAGCAACACTAGTATGCTTACTGGGTGTCATGATTGCTTGGTAGATGCAAAATATAGTAATTAAAAGATCAAAACACAATTCACAATCACAAGCTTGTAGCAGAGAAGTTGGACTGGACACGTATGAAGTACGTGGTCTGGTGGCTAAAGCTCCCGCTTCACACACGGAGGGCCCGGGTTCGATTCCCGGCGGGTGGAAATTCCGACACGTTTCCTTACACCTATTGTCCTGTTCACCTAGCAGCATATAGGTACCTGGGTGTTAGTCGACTGGTGTGGGTCGCATCCTGGGGGACAAGATTAAGGACCCCAATGGAAATAAGTTAGACAGTCCTCGATGACGCACTGACTTTCTTGGGTTATCCTGGGTTGCTAACCCTCCGGGGTTAAAAATCCGAACGAAATCTTATCCTATGGTGGGGTGATGTCTGGGGGTGGCTGGGGACCGCCGGAGGTCTTCCCAGCTGAACCACAATAAGGCGGCCGCTTGAGGAAAAGGGAAGTCCATTTTACCTTCCTGCAAACTGAACCGTGTTAAATTTATCATACGACGTGTTACATAAAATTGTGCCGCAATTCTTCAGTCGTGCTATGCTCAAACCGTGCCAAATAAATTCTTGCTAAATAACGGTCTACCGTACTTCTCTTTACAGGTGACGTCATACAAACTTATTCTTTCTACTCCGACTACGTCGATGCTCTGCAGATGTTTGATGTAAGTATTTTACGGAAATTTTATCTTGATCAACATTGATATACATGTGTTTGTAAGTTGGGTATTGTTTAAGTTTCAAAATATTTATGAACACAAGCACAAGTTATTATTTGCTTGTGTTTACAGGCGTGACGTTTAACTTCTATGCTCCGTCTACCTAACATTAGTAGTCAGGATTTATGAAGCCAATGAGTTTAGGAATAATTATGGTTGAAATTGCCACACCGTTTCCACACTATTGCATGCAGTTTTATAACTGTAGTGTAGACATGCCTCTGGCAAGACAGTGATGGAGTGAATAATGATGAAAGTTTTTCTTTTTCAAGCCACCCTGCCTTGGTGGGAAACAGCAAATGTATTAATAATAAACTAAATAAATAAATAAATAAATAAATATATATATATATATATTATATATATAATATATATATATATATATATATATATATATATATATTATATATATATAATATATTATATATATATATATATGTCGTGCCAAATAGGCAGAACATGCGATTTTGGCTTAAATAGCAACGCTCATCTTGCCATATAAGACAAGTGAAAATTTGTGTATGCAATAATGTCGCCAAATCATTCTGAACCTAACGAAAAAAAATATATTTCAACTGTGTTTGTTTAGAATTAAATTATTGTAAAAAAAAATCTAAAATATATTTAGTTGGGTTAGGCTAAATAAATTGCTCTTGTTATAATAAAGGGTTAGGTGAGTTTTTCTAAGATTCTTTTGGAGCAAAATTATAAATTTTTACACTAACATTAATGAAAAAATATAATCTTTAAACGTAAAAGAGAAAATTTTAGAAAGGACTTAATTTTAAATGAGTTCTTGCTAATTGACCAGTTTTACATATTCGGCACGATTTTTTTACATATATATATATATAAAATATATATATATATATATAATTATATATATATTAATATATATATATATATATATATATATTATATATATGTATGTATGTATGTCTTGCCGAATAGGCAGAACTTGCGATTTGGCTTAAATAGCAATGCTCATCTATTATATATATATAAAATATATATATATATATATATATATATATATATATATATTATATATATTGTCGTGCCGAATAGGCAGAACTTGCGATCTTGGCTTAAATAGCAACGCTCATCTTGCCCTATAGGACAAGTGAAAATTTGTGTATGCAATAATTTCGCAAAAAACATTCTAAACCTAACGAAAAAAATATATTTACTTGTGTTTGTTTAGTATTAAATTATTGTAAACGTATTTAAAATATATGTAGTAGGATAAGGCTAAAATAAATTGTTCTTGTTATAATAAGGTTAGGTAAGTTTTCTAAGATTCTTCTGGTGCAAAATTAAAAATTTTACATAAATTAATGAAAAAAATATATTTTTAAACGTATAAGAGAAAATTTTAGAAAGGACTTAATTTTAAATTAGTTCTTGCTAATTGGCCAGTTTTACATATTCGGCACGACATATTTTATATATATATATATATATATATATATATATTTTATATATATATATATATATATATATATATATATATATATATATATATATATATATGTCTTGCCGAATAGGCAGAACTTGCGATCTTGGCTTAAATAGCAACGCTCATCTTGCCATATAGGACAAGCGAAAATTTGTGTATGCAATAATTTCGCCAAAATCATTCTGAACCTAACGAAAAAAATATATTTCACTGCGTTTGTTTAGTATTTAATTATTGTAAACAAATCTAAAATATATCTAGTTGGGTTAGGCAGAAATAAATTGTTCTTGTTATAATAAGGTTAGGTAAGTTTTCTAAGATTCTTTTGGTGCAAAATTAGTTTTTTTTACATTAACATTAATGAAAAAAATATATCTTTAAATGTACAAGAGAAAATTTTAGAAAGGACTTAATTTTAAATGAGCTCTTGCTAATTGACCAGTTTTACATATTCGGCACGACATTATATATATATATATATATATATATATAATATATATTATAATATATATAAATGCTGATCTCTGGCTGAAGGAGACTCGAACCTACGAACCTTAGGACAAGGTACGCAGTGCTTTACCAATCTACCCACACTGGAGAATACCTTGGCGTGTAGCATGCGCTACACGTTTGATCCAAGGCAGCCAGCTTTCAGGGAGAAGGCTTACAGCTTTTCATCTCATCCCCTGCATGCATCAGCCTTACTAGAGATTTGAACAATGCAAGGAATTCGCGAGAGCATGCGAAATATACACAAACACTGATCTCTGGCTGAAGGAGACTCGAACCTACGAACCTTAGGACAAGGTACGCAGTGCTTTACCAATCTATCCACACTGGACCAATACCTTGGCGTGCAGCATGCGCTACACGTTTTGATCCAAGGCAGCCAGCTTTCAGGAAGAAGGCTTACAGCTTTTCATCTCATCCCCTGCATGCATCAGCCTTACTAGAGATTTGAACAATGCAAGGAATTCGCGAGAGCATGCGAAATATACACAAACACTGATCTCTGGCTGAAGGATACTCGAACCTACGAACCTTAGGACAAGGTACGCAGTGCTTTACCAATCTACCCACACTGGACAATACTTTCGCGTGTAGCATGCGTGTGAAGGCTTACTCAGCTCTGTAACAACTTCAGACAGTATTACCAAAGCTGGCTCCTCCTCAGGAAAATTAATGTATAGCAAACGAATAAAAACTGACAAACATAAACATTTTATTATTTAGAAAATATGAAATATAAAACACTTAAATATGAATTATTAATCCTACATTAAAGAAAATGAAAAATGAAAAATATAAATGATAACTGAATTCAACGCTAATATAAATAGAACTTGGGTGTCTGGTGTTGGTGACACTGCGTGTGGTTGAAATCGTAGCCGTTGCTGATGATGTGGGGAGGGGGGGGGGTCGCAGGTGTTGGTGACAACCCACTGGCTCGTTCTTGTGGCCGTAAATAATCTCTCCCGATGACAGGAAATCAGGTTTTGTACCGCTGCAATGATGAGGGGTTACGTCCTGATTCTTCATACATATGCACAGGCAAGTAAATACAGCAGGGGACGTCTCCAGGACATTAGTCCGTCTCCTTCAATTCTATTCGTTGATTGGCAGGTGACCCTCTCTGTCATCCAAGCTGGAAAGATAGACAGGTTACCCACTGCTTAAGAAATCACTCTCCATGATAAGTACAATACCTAAAAGATGTGGTGATTATTACAACAGTCAACTTAGAGCCAGACTGAAAGGACTAAGTTTTTTATTAATCAAAAGTGAAGCTTTCAACCAATAAATCCACTAGAATACAAGGCAGGCATGTACTTACAGTAGTGCTGGGAGCTGTGAGTCTAGTGATTACTGTTTGGACCGGAGCCCCACACGTCACCTTTCGTGGGGGGGGAAGAAGGAGGGGAAGGGATAGCGGGAGCTAGACTGACCCTACCTTAACAAGCAGCCGGCAATCAAACTATCACTTTCAGGGTGGGGGGAAAAAAAAGGTGGGAATAGTGGGAGCTAGACTTGCCTTACCTTAAGTAGCCGGCAAGCAAATTATCACTTTCGGGGAGGGGGAAAAATGGGGGGGGGGAATAGCGGAGCGGGAACTTACCCTACCTTAACAAGTAGCCGGCAATGAAACTATTGTTACTATATCGCTACTCCTATCTATTGAACTTTTCCCTCACACTTCCCCATACCAAGGCTTATAGTCAAGGAGTATAAGAAGAATAGGCGAGGAAAAAGTTCTAACATGTGGAAGTCGCATAAGGCAACAAATCTTCTACTGACTGTCACGACTTAAACCAGTCAGAGAAATAATTGGAGAACCAAATATGTACACATATGGAACTTAAATGCCCTGGAGTGCCAATGTCCACCTCAAGAGGCGACTGTTTGGTTCCCTTAAAAGTTTCTAGATATAAAAGGGTTTTGTGGTCCGTTCTAAAGTGAATTCTTTTTTTCAGCAAATAAAATTTAAGTTTGGAGATACCCCAACACAAGGGCCAAACATTCCTTTTCTATGGTGGAGTATCTCGTTTCTGCGGGAAGGAGTTTCCGGCTTAGGAAGCAAAACAGGGAAGGGAGTACCACATGGTATTGTAGTAGCACCGCACCTAAGCCAGTGTTGGGGGCATCATTTCTTAAACAAAATGTTTTATTAATACCCTGGAATCTTAAGTATAGGGCCCTATCGAAAAGATACTTTTAATCTCATTAAACTTTTTCCCGAGCTACGTCGGAAAGTTCAAGAGGTTCCTTCACAGACTTTTTAAGGAAGTCAAATAAGATACCTGTAAGATCAGTAAGGTTCGGGATAAACTGTGCATAAAAATTTACAGAACCAAGAAAGCTACGCATGAGTTTCTTGGTTTTGGGGAATTTAAATTCTAATTAACTTTGGATCTTACTGGGGAGAGGCAGAGAGTTTTAAAAAAATACAGTCCAAGATATCTAATCTTGTTATACCCAAGGAGCATTTCTTTGGCTTGGCAGTGAGGCCATGTGAGCATAACCTACGCATGTTTGGATATGTTCGCCCCACGTGGATGTCATTATGTAAATGTTATCAAAATAAACTGAAACATTGGCATATTACCCAAGACGTTTCCTCATCTCTCAAGTAGGTAAGCCAGCAGTTACCAAACCGAAGGGCATAGTTCTATATTGCAAACATCCTTGGGTGTTAGGAAAAGCGGTGTACTGCTTAGAAGAAGGATCTAACAAATTTCTTGATGATAAAACCTGCACAATATCAATCTCTGAAGGAAGCGACATAAAATTTGTGTAGATCGCTATCTATTAAGGGCATAGGCTCAGCATCCCACCGAGTTATAGCATTAAGGCCTCTAAAGTCAAAAGCAAGTCTATATGAATTATCCTTCTTCTCAACCATGACTACTGGTGAGCAATATGCAGAAACTGAAGGTTCAATGATCTTTAGTTTTAATAATTTGTCTACCTCTCGGTCAAATGCATCCCT